TGGGCCGCAGTGTCCGTATTAACTACTCTGTCTTCAAGAATCTTTTGCTGCGGCAGCCATTCCGGAAACCCTGATACAGGGGATATTTTCGCCATAGCGGCTAACTTACGAGCAGGTTCAAACAGTGTCAACAGTTGCAGCAGTTATAAGGACATAGATACGACAGCGCTCCTTTCAGCTTCCTTAAGCGGCAATAAGGAGGTAGAATGAGCGCCTTCAACACACATAGGCACGGAGAGCAAAATGAGAAAGTATTCTTGGGCGGAGATTTTGAACCGTTTTGAAGGCGAATGGGTTGAGCTCGTAGAATTCGACTGGGACTGGCATTCTCCCTATCCAAAGTGGGCCCGGGTCAGACATCATTCTTCATCGCGGTCGGAACTGATGGCAATGCTAAAAGCATCAAGTCAAATTGAAGATTCGGTTATCTTGTATTTGGGCGCAGTAGAAAGCGTAGTCGATCATTCGGAAACTGCAGCCGTGATCTAAGTTATTTTTCTGTTAATGCTCGCGCTGCTCAGTAAGAATTCTGTAAATAGATGGGGACCCCGTGGGTTCAAGCCAAAGTGCCGATTTTGCATCAATGCTGCCCCATTTGCCCATCTCATTTTTTGTCCACAAAAGATAGTCGGGACATACTTTAGTGCGGGTGTTGATGAATTCCTGCCTTTGGGAGCACGTAACAATTTGCAGCAACGAGCCCATTAAAACTTCCCGGTTGTGATAGTCCAACCCGTGTGAATAAAGAGTTCCTGGAAATCCCATAAAAAGCTTACGGCCGGTCAGTGTAACCGGCGAATTATGAAAAGGAGCCGCTGCAAATACGGCATCTTGAGGAGTAAAATTGATAATCTCGTCGGCCTTAGCCCGGTCATCGGCCGAATAAATGGTATATTTCTTGAATTGTTTCATGACCAAGCCGAGCTCACATAAGGAAGGAATCATTAAAATAATCAAAATATAATGAGCCGCAAAAAGTTTTTTGTCGGCGGGATTTGCAATCCAAACAGAAAGAAAGATGAGATATAAAGACATAAATATCTTCATCTGATCCCATTCCCACACGGCGATATGAATGTAGTTCCCGGCAATAAAGATAGCCAGCCACGTCAGAAATAATGCGTGGCGCTTTGTCACAATCCACAACAGGGCTACGAAGATTAGCCACGGCCCGGCATTCCAAAACCACATCTGCAAGCCGCCGGAGATGATCGATGCGAGTGAGTCAGCAGTTTCGGTGCTTTTCCAAATTAACCAGCCCGGGCGGAATTTAATTATTCCTTCTTTGCCTAATAGCCAGGGCAGTGACATAGCAACGGGCATCAGAGAAACTAAAAAAACTGCCAAAGGCTTGAACGAAATTTGCCGGCTCTTTAGCAGCAAGATTCCACATATATATAATGACAGCACCAGAAATAGATGGGTGTGAACGAGGGGAGAAAGACTCAAAGTCACGCCTGTGAGTATCGCTAACCAAAGCTCTGTTGGTGAAAGCAAGAAGGAATAAAAGATTCGAAGTACGGAAAACGCCCCCAGCATGCCCATAAGAGCTGTGCGTTGAGGAATCCAAATAGTTGTAAGGAATACCGACCAAGGATAATGCTTCGAAATATTCTCGCCGGAGTGGGTGCAGAGCCTCATAAAACTTCCGCCTGCGAATAATATTGCCCACGGCAAAATCTTAACCCTGTCGCCGTCGATGACGAAATAGACAGCTATCCATATTATCAACCATTGATAAAGAAGAATCAGTCCGAAAGAGGTCTGTGTCGGATAGATCCACCACATTGACGCGGTCCACAAATTGACGAAGAAAGGATATGTCAGCGGAGCCCCGGCCATAGTTTGATTTTGCGGCGGAAAATTTTCTCCCAAGGCAAAAGATGTAATAGTGCCGGTGTGAAACGCCAGATCGCCGTAACTATTAATCCAGATCGTGCGTAATTCGGAAGTTGTATCTACTAAGCTGATGCCTAAAGCCAAAATTACAAAGAACCACAACGAGAAATTGATAGTCAGGTTTTCTGGAATAAGATTGCCAATGATTTCGCGTGAACGGCTAAGCGGCAGGAGGAAAGGCAGAGTAGTTAATACGGACACTGCGGCCCATGGAAGATGAAGGCATTTTAATATTAAGATTAAAAATATATTAGCCGCCAGTCCCGGGAAAAATTGCACTGCTAGAGGCAGTTTGGTTTGCGGCTTATTGCCCATCCGCGATTTCCTGACGGCAGTAACAATATATTGGCCCAGGCTTAGGCAAGAGAGGGGGAAAATGAAGCAAAGGCCCAGTTGAACTGTTATCCGGATGATGTCAATGAAAGAAAACATGGCCGAATCATAGCTATTCATGGCGGCATAAGAAATGTTAAGTTTTTTTTAAAAGAACAAAAATCTACTTGGATAGTACAGGCAGTCGGTGTAATTTCCTGTTGGGTAGTCGCTTCTAATAATCTCTCTGCCAGTTTTGGATTATATGTATCGTCCAAATTGCAGAGAGGTGAGGCAAGGTTTTAAGCGTTTTTCCCCGGTTGAGGGTACAGAAAAGATGGACTTTGGATCGTCTTTTTTGTGCCCTTTACTGGAAGCAAAATCTGAGTTTGGTGTAATTCAATCCTGGGCACATCCGTTCACATCCAGAGGATGAGTTATGCCTGTAGAAAAAGGAGTCACCCTCCATGACCAGCCGCAAGTGTTTCCGGATGGAATCCGCCCTCGGGGACGGGAAGGGGGTGATGTGAGCCGAAATCACCGGCACCGAGGGCCCGCATCAGCTCACAACCCCGTGAACTGATCGGTTCGAACAAGAGATGACCGGGTTCCGAAAATGCCCTCATTCGGAACCCGGTCTCCAACTCAGAATATTTTAAAGGATTTGACTCACCTCTCGTACAATTCTCAACCGGCTGTTTCATTATACGATCTTACAAACGACAGCAGCCCTTGAAAAATGTCAGCATTATTAATCACTCTTGGCACTTTATTTTGTCCGCCGAATTTTCCCCGGCTTTTCATCCAGTCGTTAAATGCCCCAGGTGCGGCTACCAGCAGCTTTGGCGCGTAGAGACCGAATTCGTTTCTGCGGTGAGCCTGATAGTCTTCATTTAATTCCTGCAGCATCCGGTCGACATGATACATCAGGGCCTCACAATCGCCTTCCGTGGGCCGCAGTGTCCGTATTAACTACTCTGTCTTCAAGAATCTTTTGCTGCGGCAGCCATTCCGGAAACCCTGATAC